TATCCAGGAAATCTAAGGAGATTAGGAGCTGTATAATGGAGTATGATATGAGTTAGGGGACCAGCTCTGGTTGAACATCATTTCTATTTGTGTCCTTTATTTTGAAGATTTCAGTTAACACTGGAAATGTTATTTTTGAAGTTGCAGACTCAAACACTTTTTTTTATTATGTTATAAGTTATATAAAAGCTCATCAGCTAAATGGACAATTACATTGCTATTTAAGCAGGTGATGAGTACATGCTATATTTTTTGAAGCCTAAGTTCTGAGTAGTTAGCCCTAATGCCATTTAAGACAAAAATGTCTGCTGCCTTTTATATCCCCTTACTTTGTACATAGGTCTTATCCCGTTTTTTTTAACCAGTCCTGAGACTTTAGAAAATTTGTAGCTCACAGTCTTTATTCCTGTACTCACCAGCAGTGATTGCCGTTTGCTGGTCAGGCCGAGTTTATTGCAAGAACTGCTTTTCACTTGTCTCATACTTACCTGTGTCTCCTTAGGCTCATTCATCCCAACCCCCTTCATTTGCCAGTAAGTGCTGTTTTAAAAATAAGACTCAGATACTCCTACCCAATAAAGGGCTAAACACTTTAAAGTTTGAAAAATACCTGATTGCTTGGTGTGGTGTAGAAGAAAAGGCACTGACAGAATCAGAATATCTTGATCTGCCTCCAGAAAGAGAGGCCTTAGAGAAATAATTTAACATCCTTGCGCCTGTTTCTTTATGTGTAAAGTATAAACAGTACATTCTTTTACTATACCCATCTAAAAGCAGTTAGGATCAAATGAAATTGAGGTGTTAATTCTTTTTTTATTACTTTCATTTTATTTTTAAATTTTATTTCAATTCCAGTGTGACTAGCATGTTTAAATATATGTTTAGGAGAGAATTCTTTTTAATCTCACTTAATAGCTGCCAAGATGAAGGTCGGTGATCTCTGATGTCCATTAACATGTGAGTGGATAAACAAACAGAAAAATGGTGGTGTATCTTTACAAAGGAAAAATGTTCAATAATAATGGGGATGTATAAGTTGGAGATTTTAAATGCCTGTTCCCAGTGTCTTCAGGTTGTGGTATGTGAGTGTCGTTTTAGGTGTGTTTTCTTCTGGGACTCTTGTCGGGGAACAGGTGGTGATGAATAGTGAGACAGATGTTCAGATGTTCAGTTGCTTTCATTAAAGAAAACTTGCTTAGGAAGCCTGGGTGTCTCAGTGGGTTGAGGCCTCTGCCTTCAGCTCCGGTCATGATCCCAGGGTCCTGGGATCGAGTCCCGAGTCGGGCTCTCTGCTCAGCAGGGAGCCTGCTTCTCCCTCTCTCTCTGCCTGCCTTTCTGCCTGCTTGTGATCTCTGTCTGTCAAATAAATAGATAAAATCTTTAAAAAAAAAAAAAAAAGGAAAGAAAGAAAACTTGCTTAGAATGATATAGTAATTGGAAAAGTTAAGGTCTGAGGCACCAGGGTGGCTCAGTCAGTTAAGCTTCTACTTTTGGCTCAGGTCATGATCCTGGAATCCTCGGATCAAGCCCCGCGTTGTGCTCCCTGCTCACTGGGGAGCCTGCTTCTCCCTCTCCCTCTGCCATTCCCTCTGCTTATGCCTGCTCTCTCTCTCAAATAAATAAATAAAATCTTTTTTAAAAGGTGGGGGAGGAAAAGTTATGGTCTACATCCTTAAGATTTCTTTTTTTCCTTGATACTTTTCTGATATTCTTGGAATGAGAAAAAAAAAATTTTAAGTAGTTGGTTTATGATGAGAAAAAAGTAGCAAGTTGCAAAATAACAAAGTGGGTGCAGAAAAAATAATATATACTAATATGCAGGTGTATCACTAAATTTTTTAAAAAACCATCTTTAGGGGCGCCTGGGTGGCTCAGTGGGTTAAAGCCTCTGCCTTTGGCTCAGGTCATGATCCCGGGGTCCTGGGATCGAGCCCCGCGTCGGGCTCTCTGCTCAGCGGGGAGCCTGCTTCCTCCTCTCTCTCTCTCTGCCTGACTCTCCACCTACTTGTGATACCTCTCTCTGTCAAATAAATAAATAAAATCTTTTTAAAAAATAATAAAAAATAAAAAAATAAAAAAACATCTTTAATGAGATATCATTTATATACAGTACAGTTCACCAATTTTAAGTGTATAATTCCATGAGTTTTGACAAATGTATACAGTCAGGTAACCATACCACAATCAAGCGATAGAATATTTTTGTCACACCCGCCCCACAAAAGTTCCCTCCTACCCCTGTCCTGTCAGTCCTCTCTCCACTCCCTGGCAATCATTACTGTTTTCTGGATCTATAATTATGTCTTTTTTAGGATTTCCTATAAATGAATGCACACAGTGTGTAATCTTCTGTGTCGCTTATTTTGTGTAACAATGTTTTTGAGATTCATCAGCATTGTTGCATGTATCACTTTTCTGTTCCTTTTTATATATTTCCTTTCTCCCTTTATCATGCTTCCTCCACCATTCTGAATGTATGGAGGGCATTTACGATAGCATTTTGTATATCCTTGTCTGCCGATCCTCTGTTATTTCTGGTCCGTTTCTGTTGATGGACTTATCTCCTGGTTGATGAGTCATATTTTCCTGTTTCTTTGAATGCGTGGAATTTTTTATTGTCTGCCAGATGTAAATTTCACATTATTGGGGGCTGCACTTTGTTGTATTCCTTTAGGTAGTTTTGGACTCTGTTCTTTGAATCACTAGGATCCTTTCCAGACTTGCTTTTAAGGTTTGTCAGGATAGACCACAGCAACTTTTAGTCTAGAGCCAATTTCGTTCCACGACTAGTGTGATCTGAGGTCTTCCCATTTGGGGAGGTGAAAATACAAACTGTCACCAACTCCATATGAGCCTGGGAACTGTTGACTCTGGTGCTTCTTTCCCCAGCCCCTGGTGGTTTCTTCTCATGCGGAACAGATGGCACTCTGCCAAAGGCTCAGGGGGACCCTACTGCAGACCCCACACCTCTCTCTGCTCCTTTTTACTCTCCTGTATCCTGCCTGAGAAATCCTAGCCACCTTAGCATCCCCAACGCCAATCTCGGGTGTCCTCACCGGACCAGACTAGATTCCTCTCCCTGGGCAGCGGTCTGGGACCTGCCTCCAGCCAGTCAGGGAGCAATCCAGAGGCTCATGTTCTGTTTACCTTCTCCCCAACAGCACAGTCCGGCGCTGCCCATGGCCCGGTGTTTGAAAAACATTTTATATACATTTTGTTTTGTGTGCTCTGTCCAGTTTTCTCTTGTTGACAGCAGAAAGGTAAAATCTGGTCCAGGGTGCTCTATCCTGGCCAGAAGTGGAAGTCTCTTTTTTTCTAAATGTGGAGTGAGCATGTATAGGTATTTCTGGGGGGAAACTTGGGCACAGGGCTCATCAGTTCTCAGCATAAGGAAATGTAATGTACTTTAATGCTTGCTTTACTGTTGTGAGACAGGGCTCGTAACTGAGGTGGCGTTCCTCAGCGCTCACGGTGAGCCAGTTGAAGTCAACTTGAATTTATTTGCACAAAGTATCAACTTTGGGTTATGCGTAGCAGACTTATCTAGGGTAGCTTTTCGTCAGTGAATGGATGGATAAGTTGGTATTCTAAGGACGTTTGTTAGCCACCTGTATTTCTGACCAACTGAATAACTTATCTTTTGAATTTTATATTTGTATTTTGTAAAATGTGAATTTGTTGGCTCTCTAATATATGTGAGAAAATAACTGCGACCTTTCCTTGTCTGTGAGTATTCGTGGTCGAGAAGACCCTGAAACAGTTCTGGGCCCTTTGCAAGCTGATGTTTCAAATTTAGGCTTTCTCTTCAGAATGATTGTTTGGATGTCTTTTCATAGATTGATCTACCATAATGTCAGAACCCAGTCCCAATATTTAGTTAGTTAGGAGTTTAAGAAATGTTTGTTTTAACCATTTGTATTTTAGGGAAGATGAATAAACTAAGATTAAAAAGACGATTTTATGTTATTATGGGTACACTACTGTTGTCTGATAGAAGTTTTAGGAAGATGGTGACATAAAATCAAACTTTTTAAAAATACCATCCACATTGAAACCTTTTTTTTTTTTTTAAGATTTTATTTATTTATTTGACACAGAGAGAACGAGAGAGAACAAGCACAAGCAGGGGGAGTGGCAGGCAGTGGCAGAGAGAAAAGCAGGCTCCCCGCTGAGCAAGGAGCCTGATTCGGGGCTTGATCCCAAGACCCTGGGATCATGACCTGAACTGAAAGCAGCCGCTTAACTGACTGAGCCACCCACATGCCCTAAAATCAAACTCTTAAGAGGAAAATTTAGGGCTCTAATGGCTGTATATCTGATCGTATGTGTAAAATTATTTGCAGCGCGGTTCATTGGAAGGAATATTGAAGATAAGAGACCTAGTTCTTTTTTTTTTTTTTAAGATTTTATTTATTTATTTGACAGACAGAGATCACAAGTAGGCAGAGAGGCAGGCAGAGAGAGAAGGGGAAGCAGGCTCCCCGCTGAGCAGAGAGCCCGATGTGGGGCTCGATCCGAGGACCCTGGGATCATCCGAGCCAAAGGCAGAGGCTTTAACCCACTGAGCCACCCAGGCACCCTGAGAGACCTAGTTCTAGTCTCACCTTATCACCATGTCACTGCAGGCTAGTCGCCACCTTTGTGAGAGTCACCTTTGTGAGAGTCACCTTTGTGAGAGTCACCTGATCTATGAAATGAAGAGAACGACTGTGAAGGGATGGTAGAGTGAAAATGTTTAAGGATGCTAACGTGCCAAGACAATGCTAATCGTTGAACTTCATTTTGTACGTTATTACAAAATCTGCCGGGAACACCTACTGTGACAAACCACAAAGCAAGATTTGTTTATATTCCCTACAGTTCGTTATGTGAAAATATTTTGTGTTAGAAATGAGGAACCGAACACAGGGCTGATTGATAAAATGGAGATGGATTGCTGTCTTTTTTCCACTGCTTTTTTCTTAGTATTACTTTGTGTTTTCTTCTTTATGATTTTCCAGGCAAAGAGTGTATCCAGCAGTTAGCTGAAAACACGAGGTATTTCAGGAGGCGGCTGAAAGAGATGGGCTTCATCATCTATGGGAATGAAGACTCCCCGGTTGTGCCTCTGATGCTCTACATGCCGGCCAAAATTGGGTATGTTCTGATGCAGGCTACAGGCCGGCCTCAGTAGACTTAGGGCTCCTGTGATGTTAGACTCAGGCTTGTGTATTTTGTTGGGAAATATTATCTGGGCCTCACTATGTTAACCGTCGAGGTTTGCTAGAAATTCCAAATTAGTGGATTCCGGGTTAGTGGATTCTAATTTGTAAGACATGTTAACTTGTTAGTCTTTCATTAAACATATTGAGTTTAACGCTCTCTTCTAGGAGATTGGGATAGATCAGTGGACAGAACACAGATAGAAAAATCCCTGCCCTTGGGGAGTTTATGTTCTAATGGGGCAGGAGTCAGACAAATGTAGTAAAAAAGTTACATAATTTGTTAGAAGACGTTACATGTTATGGGGAAAAGTAGAGCAGGATATGGGGGTTGAGTGTCCCGTGGGCAGGCAGATGACGGTATGAAACGGGGAGGTCAGTGGGGAGCGAGGGGGCGGGGAAGGGAAAATGACATCTAAGCTTGAAGAAGCAGAGTTAGCCACTTGGAGAGAGAAGTTCTGTGCGGAGGCCGGAACAAAGGAACATGCTTACCCGACTGAGGAATAGCAAGAAGGTGCGTGGAGCCGAAACGCAGTGCCCCAGGGCTGAGTGGGGCTGCGAGGTCAGGGCGTGCGGTTGCGTGGCTACCCAAGGTGCAGCCTACACCAGTTTCTTCGGTGTGTGCAACTCACGTATATCAGAAAGCCTTGCCCTGGAACAGCTTCCAGTCGTTTTGAGAGCTCCGGGTGTCACCAAACCAGAAGACATTTGAAGAGTAATAGGTAGTGAGCAAATATAATTACTTGCAAATCAAGTGTATGCGAAACTGCGTCAGAAAGGTAAAAGAAAGGAGTTACCTGCTTAGTGTAGACTCAGTTAAAAAAAGAAAAAAAGAAAAAACCACACATCTTTTCAGATTTGTGAGTTTTGACTGGATCTTAAATATAAAATTGGATGAGGATCGTTTCTCAGGTTTAATGGAATTCATTAAAGGAGCAAATATTTTTATTCATCTTTGAATCCCCAGGGCCCACCAGAGTCCCTGGCAGTTAGAGGCACTCCATAAATATTCATCGAAGTGGATCTCTAGGAGGGGAAACTAAAGCCTAGAAGTCGGGTGATTCCAAAGATGATAAGAGGGCACTTGGGAGAAGGTGGCCGCTGAGGGAAAAGGAGTTCAGTTTTCAACAGGAAGGCATATGCGCATTTGGTCTTCAGAAGCAGTGGAGAGTATGAACCAAAGCAGAGGTGTGTGTAGGGTTTTCTCTCCTTTAAATGGAATTATCATAAGTAAACAAAGAGTGTCTGATCTGGAGGACTTACTCTAGAACTGTTTCTTTAGAGAGAACTGGGTCTAACCTGCTCTACAGGGGAAGCTAATGTGTGCATTATAATTAAGATTTACAGAGGGTGAGGCAGACAGAAGAAAGAACTAGACCATTTGGGAGGGTCCGCTGAAGATGCAGGGTGGTCGGGGTCAGAGGAAGTACTAGAAAGAGTGGGGGGGAAGGCTGGCATTTATGTAATTAGTCACTCAGGTAATTAAAATGGGGTGGGGGATTTCTTATTCTCAAACAAATGCTTTAAAATGCTCAGGGAAGGGGTACCTGGCTGGCTCAGTTGGAGGAGCATTGATCTCTTGATCTCAGGGTTAAGTTCAAGCCCACATTGAATAGAGATTACTTACATAAACTTAAAAAACAAACAAACAAAAAATAACAGCCTAAGGGAATAGTCAAGAAACAGCATAATTAGCAAATAAAACATACATGAAGTTAGAATTGTGTCATTTAGACAAGATACGGATATGGAGTAAGGTCCCATGCCACCGGTTTGGTCTGGGGTGGGGAGTGAAACAAGATTTGTAGAGTCTGGGCAGTCAGCTGAAGCCTGGGGATGAGGTTGCCTCACAAAACCAAAGGAAACCCTAAATTCCAAAGACAGCTTAACATTCAAGTCAGTCAAAAAAATACCTGGTCGGGGCACCTGGGTGGCTCAGTGGGTTAAAGCCTCTGCCTTCGGCTCAGGTCATGATCCCAGGGTCCTGGGATCAAGCCCCGCATCGGGCTCTCTGCTCAGCAGGGAGCCTGCTTCCCGCCCCCTCCCCGCCTGCCTGCCTCTCTACCTACTTGTGATCTCTGTCAAATAAATAAATAAAATCTTAAAAAAAAAAATACCTGATCTTTGGGACACCTGGTTGGCTCAGTCGGAGGCACATGTGACTCTTGATCTCGGGGAGGTGAGTTCAAGTCCCGTGTTGGGTATAGAGATCAGTGAAATAAACAAACTTAGGGGGAAGAAAAGAAGTGCCTGGTCTAGAGCTAATGCTAGTCGGCCATTCTGCCCCCAGAAAGAAGTCAGTGTTACAGCAGATCCTCTCCATCCTTAATCTTTTTTTTTTTTTTAAGACGTTATTTATTTATTTGTTGGAGAGCACTACCAGGGGGAGCAGCAGGCAGAGGTAGAAGCAGGCTCCCTGCTCAGCCGGAAGCCTGCTTCTCCCTCTCCCTCTGCCTGCTGCTCCCTCTGCTTGTACACTCTCTCTCTGTCAAATAAATAAATAAAACTTTTAAAAATTTAAAAAAAAGAATTATTTAAACTGCCAAACTTAACATTTCAAGGACAGGATTTTAAACTCATGTTCATTTTGAAGCCTCTGAACCACTCTTACGTGTCAGAACACTTCAAGGCTGTAACGGCAAATTAGTTTAGGCAAGCTCTGTCAAAAATAGGTCTCTGACAACTATATTCTTCACCTTCGTGAAGGAGACCATTTGGGAGAAGACCACTCCAGGATTGAATTGAAGAAGTCTGGCAATTTTTTTTTTTTTTTTAAGATTTATTTATCCATTTGAGAGAGAAGGTGCGTGTGTGTGTGTGTGTGTGTGTGTGTGAGAGAGAGAGCCTGAGTGCACGAGCCAGCAGTGGGGAGGAGCAGAGGGAGAGGGAGACAGGCTCCCTGCTGAGCATGAAGCCTGATGCAGTGCTCCAGTGTGGGGCTCAATCCCAGGACCCCGAAGTCATGACCTGAGCCAAAATCAAGACTCAGCTGCCTAACCGACTAAGTTACCCAGGTGCCCCTAAGTCTGGCAGTTTTTTTTAAAAGATTTTATTTATTTATTTGATTGAGAGAGATCACAAGTAGGCAGAGAGGCAGGCAGAGAGGGGGTGGTAAGCAGGCTCCCCATTAAGCAGAGAGCCCGATGCGGGGCTCGATCCCAGGACCCTGAGATCATGACCTGAGCTGAAGGCAGAGGCTTAACCCTCTGAGCCACCCAGGCACCCCGAGACAATTTTAACTTAAAAGAAGTTAGAAGAGATTCCTAATGTCTTTGTTATTAGAATGTTATTAATAATATAATGTTATTATATAATTATATACTATAATTAATAATAATAATGTTATAAATAATAACATTAAAATGTTATTAAGAAGATCATAAGGAAAAGACATGTCCTAATGTCTGTATCACCTAAGAGTTTAAATCATTCAGGACCACAAGACCTTTGTGTTGTGGTTTATTACTCTTCCTGTTTATTACTCTTACCCTGTTTTCCCCTCGCAGCGCCTTTGGACGGGAGATGCTGAAGCGGAATATCGGCGTAGTTGTGGTGGGATTTCCTGCTACTCCAATTATTGAGTCCAGAGCCAGGTTTTGCCTGTCCGCAGCTCATACCAAAGAAATACTTGACACTGTAAGTAGACACTCTCACCTTGATGTAAATATATCTATGCTACGGAGGCCTGGATATCAGATGAAATTGATCATCTGCTGATCCTGAAGTTCTTTAAGCACCTGAGGTATTAATTGGTAAAATAGAGGAGGGAGTATGCGGTGCTGCTTAAAATATTGCTAATTACCACCACCACCACCCCCGCCCAAAAAAGCAAAACCATTAGCATTGCCCACTAGACCCTGTGTGATCAGGGCTGTGGGGAATTGATGGCTTCGTCTCATTCCACGCTTACCTTTATTATGGCCTCTACAACCGTCTCACTCTCTTTGTCCTCGAGCTGTTTCTGCTACAAGCCTTCTTACATATTGTTCTGTCTCTCCAGAATTTTCTCTCTTGAGTCCTCTCTCTCCTTGGCTGGCTGACTCCTACAGATTCTTCCCATCTCCACTTAAAGGAAACTTGCTCGAGGGTGTTCCCCAGTCCTCTTGCTTGCCATTTCCTTGGACTCTTAAGATTCTCCCTTAGTAAATCCTTCCCATCTGGAATTATTTGATGGCAGTCTTCTCTACTGGATAAATCTTGAGGGCAGAGACTACGTCTCTTTTGCTTGTTCTATATCTCCAGGATATACCACAGCCAGGCATGTAGGAAGGGCTCCTAATTATTGAATTTAATTATGGTCTCTTAATTCTTACATTGTGATAGTCTCTTAACGTGCTATTATTTCACATCCAAGACTTTAAATAAGTATTGCTTTCTGGGAGTTTATAGAATTCTAGAATGCAATATCTGCATAAAATTATGGTTGAACTAAACAACACGAGGGGGTGGTGTAGGGGAGCTAACACGCTGCCCCATCCCAAAGTAAAAAAAATCTACATGTAACTTTTGCCTCTCCCAAAACTTAAGTATAGTCAGCTGGAAGCCTTACTGTTATCACAGACAGGCACTGAACACGTATTTTGTAAGTTAGGTGTATTATATACTGTAAGTTATATGTATTATATACTGTAGTCTTACAATAAAATAAGTTGGAGAAAAGAAAATGTTATTAAGAAGATCGTAAGGAAAAGACATTTATAGTACTGTATGTATTGAAAAAATCCACATATAAGTGGACCCACACACAGTTGAAACCCTTGTTGTTCGTGGGTCAGCTGTGGTTGCCAGAAGTACCCACTGATTCATTGGAGAGTTACTAATCTTGAAGAGTATGAATACGTGTTAAGGGTTTGTTGTAGCAGTCGAATTCACATGTTTATTTCTGGGCCTCGGAAGACTGATTTTTCGTCCTTATTTCTGTCAAACAAAACTTGCGCAAGTACGAGCTGTTCTTCATCACATCCTGACCCTGGAAAATTGGATTCCGTTTATTATTGCTGCTGTATCTTCCTTTTCTTTTATTTGGATTGTGCCTTTCAGCTTTTCTTCCATTCTCTTCTACTTAGATGTTCAGAAGTTTGTCTTGCCTTCAAAAAAAAAAAGTTTATATGGGACCGTTATGGGGCCCCAGGTAGCAAAAACAGTATGGAGAGAGAGAATCTAAGTTGGAGGGGTCAGACCTCCCGGGTATGAAACTTACTGCCAAGCGGCTGTAGTCAAGGCAGTGGGGCACTAGCGTGAGGACAGACGTGAGGCCAGTGCTGGAAGAGGACTGAGAGGCCATGAATACACTTGGTCATCTGTGGCCACTTGATTTGCCACAGGAGAGCCCAGACTCATTAGGAGGGAAAGAATAGTGTCTTCCACGAACGGTACCAGGCAGCTGGATAACCGCATACAAAAGCATGAAGTGGGAGCCCTACAACATGGGTGAACCTTGAACACATCATGCTAAGTAGAAGAAGCCAGGCACAAAAGACCACATTATGAAATGTCCAGAATAGGCAAATCCATAGGGTCAGAAAATAGACTGGTGGTTGTCAGGGCTTGAGGAAGACAGGGAGAAGGATGTGAGTATGGGGTTCCTTTTTTTAAAGTGATAATACTTTAAGATTAGATACTGATGAAAATTGTACACCTCTGTGAATATACTAAGAAGGTGACTTTAATGGCAAGTGAATTGTGTCACAATGAAATTTATTTTTAAAAATGAGAAAGGCAGAGTTATCGATCAGCTCTGGGGCACAGCTATCCTAGAATAGTTTCTCATTCAAGGACCAGACTCCACTCTTACGATTTTACATGATTTTTCCCCTAAGAACCCATCTCACCCTGGGATCCGGTGGTTGAGTGTAGATGTTTTGCTAACAGATGGCAATACTTGCAACGGTCCCTTATTCCTACTCAAACCAGGTGACCCACATAATGGCCAACTAGCCGTGTCTAGTTACAGTTCTATGTAAATAAAACCTATTTATCTGAAATATTTGTTATGGGATCAGAGGAAATCATGGACTCTAGATCCCTTTAGGCTACTGTGAGTTTTTCTATTCATTTTCTTTTTTACATCAATGAAAAAAATATTCTAAAGTCGGAGTTCATAAATGTCTTTCACTTTGTGATCTTAGTAAGTCATGTGTTGTTTTAAATTAATAAATCCTGTATCAGAGGTCAGGGGATAAATGGTTAATGGGTTCCTCCCAGCTGAAATTCAATCCTAAATTGTTTCCATATAGAGCTTTCAGTTAAACCTTTTCTCAAAGATACCACTTTTTTTTTTTTTAATTTATTAGAGAGAGAGCACAAGCAGGGGAAGCAGGAGAGGGAGAAACAGGCTCCCTGCTGAGCAGGGAGACCGGTGTGAGGCTCGATCCCAGGATCCTTGAATCATGACCTGAGCCAAAGGCAGCCACTTAATGACTAAACCACCCAGACACCCCTTAGGTCCAGCTCTTAATTTGCTTTCTATATTTTCCACATTTGGAATGAAGAATGTTTTCTTATGCCAGAATAAATAAGGAATGCTATTTATTGGTGAGATTTTTTTTCTCTCTACAAATGCTTTTTTCTTTTTTTTTTTTTTTTAAGATTTTATTCATTTGAGAGAGAGAGAGAGAACGAGCGATGGTGGGGAGAGAGAGAGAAGCAGACTCCCTGCCAAGCAGGAAGCCCAATATGGGGCTCTATCCCAGGACCCCAGAGATCAAGACCTGCACTGAAGGCAGATACTTAACCAACTCACCTACCCGGGCACCCCTACCTACAAACATTGATTTTTTTTTTCTTTTTTTAAAAGATTTTATTGAATTATTTGACAGCGAGAGACAGTGAGAGAGGGAACACGAGCAGGGGGAGTGGGAGAGGGAGAAGCAGGCTTCCCGCTGAGTAGGGAGCCTGATGCGGAGCTCGATCCTAGGACCCCAATATCATGATCTGAGCCAAAGACAGATGCTTAACTACCGAGCCACCCAGGTGCCCCCCAAACGCTGATTTTTAAGTTAAATTTAGGGGCACCTATGTGGCTCCGTCAGTTTAGTGTCTGTCTTGATTTCAGCTCAGGTCACGAGATGGAGCCCACGTTGGGCTCCATACTCAGCAGAGAGTCTTCTTGAGGATTCTTTCTCCCTCTGTCCCTCCCCTGACTCATTCCCTCTCTCTCTCTCTCAAATCTTTTTCAAAAAGATCAAAGTTAAATTTAAGAACACAGAAATATGTCTTTTACTAATACTCAACTGACTGACTCCTGTTATAAAGTAGAAGGTGTGCATTTTCATATGAAATTATGACCATAAGGGTGGACAGAAGATGTCTGTGATGTGATGGGAAATTGGAGAGAGCCCTGTCTCCAAAGCTAAGGCCCTGCACCCTGGATTTGTCACATTATCCCCTGGGTAACGTCCCCAGACTCAGAAGGAGTGAATGACAGGGCTGGAGAGACGCTGTGGAAACTGCATTGTGTGGCCTGCGTGAGGTGCTTTTATTGAAAAGCCTTAGAACCTAGGATTATACTATTTTTACAGTCTTCCTCGGATTTCTCCAAGAAGTATCTGGGGCTTCGAGTGTCCCTGTCCTTCTATTGGATTTTTCCTGAGAAATCGTGAACACATATCCCCTTCTTGTATTGGGATCTTCTGTTCTGACCCTCTGTGCCGCGGTTTGGAAAGGTTACCTCTGTGAGCTGATGGGTGTTGCAATCAGGAAGAGACTTTTCATTTCTTGACTTTTCATTTCATAACTTTTCGTAGTGCTTGAATTTTTTTGAAAAACCAATGAGCAGGTTTTATAAGAAAGAAAATTATACTGAGATAAGTAGTTTTTGATGGGAAGATACGACGATCTCTCAAGGTTAGGATTTTAGAGTTCGACTCCTGCCTGAGTTGAAGTCCTGGCTCCGCCCATTCTTGCTCCTGCACCCCCACCCTGTCCATGACCTACCCAGTCTCCTAATGGCTTCCCCGCTTTCTTAGTAAGTCTGATCCGCGGTGCACCATGAGGGCTCGTGGCTCTCGTCACCTTGTGCCTTGGACGCATCTCAATGCAGACTTCCCATCGGTTTTTTGTTGTGAAATAGAAGCTGTGAGGACTGAAGTATGAGAGGACAAAGGACTGTGGTAGCCAGCCTGGCAAGTGCAAGGCGCATGTTCCTTTTCTCCTCCGTATAGCAGACTTCGGTGAACGCTGCCCTTTACCCTGCGTAACTGCTCTTCACAACCCGTTAGTCATGACTGGCCTGACGTCCTTGCTCAAAAAGCAGCTCTTTCCACAGCTGTCCTATAGTCTGATCAGAGTTAATGCACTAGACATACACGGTCCCGCAAGAGGATAATATTGCCACGAATGTTTTTAGAAACGTTAACGCACCAGGCGTGCCTGCGTCCTGCTGGCTCCGACTCACCTCCACTCCTCTATGTTTTAGGCGCTCAAGGAGATAGATGAAGTTGGGGACCTGTTGCAGCTCAAGTACTCCCGTCATCGGTTGGTGCCCCTGCTGGACAGGCCCTTTGATGAGACAACCTACGAAGAAACAGAAGACTGAGCCTTTTTGGTGCTCTCTTGGAGGAACTCTCCCTCACCCAGGACAGTGTGTGGCCTTTCTGAGCCAGTTCCAGGAACCATATTTCTGTGGCCATCTCACGCAAAAGACATTTCTAAATGGCATTTTGTAAATAGTAAACTGCTTCACATTCTTCCTTTGCTACAGTTCACCTTTAAAAAAAAAGAGGTGATCCACTCTACTTTTTTGTCCATTAAAAATGTTTTATTTTACAACTCTCCTTCTTATGACATCACGCTGACCCTAGCTTGGCCCTGGCTAACCACACAGGCCGTTAGCCTTTCCTTGCCACCTGCAGACTCGGCTCACCCACAGCTCCCGCTGGCCCCACCACCGCAGCCTCCAGACTCACCCAGCCCTCCTCCCCAGGGAGCAAGTGCCTTCCACTTACTTCCAGTCCAGGCGTCAGAGGCTGCCAACCTTGGAATCCTTACTAAACCAGTCAGGTATTCAACCAAAGTGTTCTCCCTTTTGTCCGAAGTTGAGCTGTTTAAGGAAAACCGTGAACACTAACATTGCTAAAAACCGCCCCTTGTCGTGAACTCCCCCTGGCCAGGAGCCTCCCAAGGTTTCGCCCTTGTTCTGGTCACCGGGTGATTTCTTTTTTCACCATCAGATACTGATAATGGTCACTGTCTGAGATGTATGTCCAGTTTCTGGGTTTTTCTAAGCTCTAAACTAACCTGCTATTTAAAATGCTGGAATTGTTCAGAAAGCACCCGCATCCACCCTGGCCAGACGCTTGTGGGCCAAAGGGACGGAGCTGGGGGACTGAGCTGGCAAACGCCTGTGCTTGCTTCCTACTCCGCTTTCTACTCTTCAGAACTGTGACCGCCTCTGCCTGGGTCTGGGTCCAGATCAGGATTTAAACTGATAAAGGAAAATGTTGGTAAATCCCGTGCTCAGAAATCATTCGTCATGTTCCTGTTTAAGGATTAAAGTTATTAACTTACCCGTTTTAGAAGCTGACCCATTTAAACGTTACTCTTCTGAGTGCTAGTTCTTTACTTTTAATGTCCTAAGACAATTCTAATCTGGCATCTGGGGTTTAGGGTCTCTTCCCCCACCACCACCACCCTAAGAAATTCTGAACACATTATCTCTTTGCTAAACTGGGATCCTCTATTTTGACTCTTTTCATACTAAGTGAGGGGACTTGTTTCAGAGAGCTTTATAAAACTGCTTGACCAAAGAACAAATCTGAAAACCACCATGTTAAAGCTCTTCCTTTTTTCTGTTGACCAAAGCCTAAGTGAAGAGAATTTTTGACATTATTACGCCCACGACCAGCTTGTCTTCTAGTAGCCATCGGAGTAGTACGGGGGAAGGCTCGGGAACAGCATGGAAGAGCCCTGTGTGAAAGTAGCTTTGCATGTCTCTCTTTTTGGAATCCCTCCTTGGGTTAGTAGAGATTCTCCTGTGCTCCTTGTCTTCAGCTGCGGGGCTTGTTCTGACACATGCAGTGGAGATGGGGAGCGACAGGACTGTCGGTGAGGGTTTGCTTTGCTGTCTTAAGTTCTCTTCAGTCACTCTCAGCATCTGAGAGCCTTCGGCCTTTAAAATATTCCAAGGTTCTGTTTTACCTTTTTTAAAGACTAGAAAAGGGTGAATCAAAGAACCAAATAGAAATGCAGGGACTGTATTTAGCATGGACAAACTGAAGTAAAAAAGAGACATTGTGGTAACTAAGTCACTAGCCCTGTAGAATAAGATACATCGCAAACCTTCGAATCTCGTTCCTCACCGTAAAACCCTACTAGAACACCAGATAGCTTTTGCACTGCAGTCACTTACCAAATGGTGTAGGGTTTGCAAAAGTCCCAAAGTTCAAGCCATGAACTTCACCTTGCTACTCTTTTTACTTCAGCTTGCATGGAGTCACTGCAATTTCAAATGTCAATATGGGCATTTAAATATATCATAAATATATATATATGTATGTATGTATGTATATATATATGTGACATATATTTGCTGGTGCAAAGTTATGTCAGAATAAATGCAGTTAAGTTACAAGTTTATTTTGAAGAGAAAAAACTGTGATCCACACGGGATCTCTGCTTTCTGGAGGACAAAATGTTCTACATGCTGGTTGTCTCTCAGAAACATATAGATCTAGGGTCCAGTCATATCACAGGCATCATTATTTAACAAAGCACTGGGGGACATGTAGATGTATATAAATATAGTCACTGGGAATGAGTAGACCTAAGTATTGTGTCGTGCATGGTTGAAGGTCGCCTGGGTCATGAGTCGGATGGGATGCACACAGGTGTCCGCTCACGTTACCACCAAAGCGGATAGTCGGAGTCAGTCAGTAGAGATGTGACTAATCCTTACCATTTTTTCTCATCCCTCTTTCTCTTTAGCATTGCCTTTATCCATTTCCGCCTTATAAGACCTTTTTCGGCAGATCACATCAGAAACCAGAAACTTCTAACTAGGAGACATCAGAATCACAAAGAATGGATCAAAAGGCAGTGGCAGACTCTCCTCCCACATTTATTTGAAAAGTTTTACCCTAAAATATGGCATTCACTCTACAGTAAGTAAATAGTTAAAGAGTATGTTCAGGGGCGGGGTCCTTGGAGCACTTTTAACTTTTCCCTTTGCTCTGGAAAATTTCTTCCCTTTAAAAATTATCCTAGTCCCCAGAACCCTAAAGTCCTGCTTGCTTGTTTGAAGAACTTGACATCTCAGTCCTATAGTTACTATCTTAAACTTTCACGACAGGGTGAGGGCTTCTGATGGTGAAAACATGCTTCTTCCTGAAGGAGTCACGGAAGGTGAAGAGAAACGCCCCTGTAAAGGGCTGCGGGTTGTAAGCAAACAATGAGTCATGGAACCACTACATCAAAAGCAAAGCAACGGCTGAGGGCTGTGTGTTTGCTAACGCCCTTTCAGAAGCCCAGGGATGAAATACTGTGCCAGTGACTTGTCCCTGTCATCCCTCTGTCCTGCATTTGGCCTTTCTTTGTACCTTCCCATTCTTGAGTTTTAGAATGTCAATGGAGAACACCTAGACGGTGATGCTGTGTTTGGAGGATCACTGGGTCAGATACCCTGTCCTGGGACACCCAACCCTACATTTCCGGAGGAGTCTGGGGACTTCTTTCTTCCCTACTTGAGGGAGCCTGTATCTAAATTTGTTAGGACTAGTCCCGTCTAGCTGAGTTTTTTAGTGTTTAATATGCTTTGCTTCATTTCTATTAGTGAAAACCAGGAGGAAGAGTGGCTCACGTGGAGAGATTTCCTGGCTTCTTAGGGAAGGGGGGGAAAGCGATGCTATCTACCGCTATGTGCCTCTTTCTCCCCCCAACCCTCCTCCCCATCCAAACTGATGAGGCTCTCCGGCCCCTAGTCATCCTGGATTGGGAAGCAGCATAGGACCGCTAGTCCGGCCATAGGCTGTGGAGAAAAAGAATGTGGATAGTTCTTATTTTGTAAGAATTTATAGATACAACTGACTGGCTCCGGGTTCTCTTGTATGAAGAACTGCTGTGACTAATTCCCAGAGTGTCTTTCCTTTCCTGGTGTTCGAGGTAAGCCAAGATGGGCTTTCATCTCTGCTGGTTGTAAGCTGTGTGGTCAGCAAAGGGGGAAGAGCGTAGGGGCTTTTCCTTCAGAAGGTCTGTCTTCACGAAGATCAGCACTACTGAGCCTTTCTCCCAGGTGAACTCGGCATCGCCCAAGGGGGTGAGTGAAGGGGGAGTTACGAAAATCAAATGATTCTTCGTGGCTGTCGAGCAGTTCCTGGCTCAAATGCAGCCCCAGAACCTAAAGGTCTGCAGCTACCTGCTTATCATGGAAGCTCAGTGCTCAGCCGGCAGGCATCTCGATCCGTTAACCAGCTAATCAAAATACCTTCCACGTGGATAGAAGTGTATCTTATTCTCTGCTCAACTTTATCCACAAGAAATGTAGTGTTTAGGCCCCTACCCAATTACCATGTGCCCAGATAACCTAATTAGGAAAAGGTTGCCCTTTTTGTCATTTCCAGTGACTTCTGTTCTCCAAGCACCTTTTGCTTTAGGTGGAGTCTTTTGGGGGCGGCGGGGAGTGGGAAGGCAAAGGAGTTAGCTTTCGGACATACCGAAGTTGTTGATTCTAGTCTTCTCCAGCCTGGAGGCATTCTCAGTCGGGCCCCCGGGGAGTGGCCTGATGAGGCAGCCTGATGGGGCAGCCATGGTCAAGGTCTTGTTTACTAGAAAGTACGCAGGATAGACGGCCCTGAACTGTGACTCTGGTATGATGAGTTCTGATAAACTGACCCTGAATAACGCAATGGTTCTGCCACTGCGGTTAGGCATCTTTGATGAAGCAATACCCAAAGTCCGTCCTTTTGGAGAAGTTGGGAAGCTGAATGCAAGGTGAGGACAGGAGCAGTCCCCTGATGTGCCCGGTGTCCTTCCTTGTTGCCATCTCCGTGGATGAGTGGATCCCTCTCTGCCCCAGGAGCCTTGAGTCGGTTCAGTCTGCCTCTCCCCACAGTTCTCAGTTTTCTTGTGCGAAGCTCGGCTGGGCACAGGCCTACTACGGAGGTGTGGGACCTACTCCTGACTGGGGTGGAGTGGTAACTTGTCTTCACCCTTAGCATTAGGTCCTGTTACCTCAGGGGCGCTAAACCGATGGGTGGAATGATTAGAAGCATCCTCGGTGGTTCTTTACAGGGTCCTGGTGAGACCACTGTTGGCTCAGCCTGCGTGCCCACACGGTCTTGATGATCCCTCTCTGTGTAAAGGTCGCGAACATTAAGAGAAGGGGGAAAGAGAATAAGAATAGAGAAATCGCTTATGGGGAGCTGAGATCTTTTGTTGGCCTTTATTTTTCCATTGACCAATTTGCCTGTAAACTGGACTTTGGAAGAGGTGCTGTGAAATCCCTCTCCTTTGCTGTGATGCTTCTATAATCTGAGAAAGCGAGAGGGGCAAATGTAAATAAAAAATTTTAAATTCTAGTACTGTATTAAAATGTCACTCTTCTCTCTTACCCCGTCTCCCTTTTTTGCTGGATGATTTTCTTTTCTTTTTTTTTTTTTTTTACACCTTGTTGGATGACTGTGAAGCTCTAAATGATGGATTGGGTTAGGCATATCCGTTTGAGAGCACATGTTAAGAACTGAAGGGGACTACTTGAGATGACTTAAGAATCATCCCATGCAAATATATTGTTTTGCCCAAATAAACTATTCAGAAAGCGATCTCTGCCTTCATTCATTCAACCAAGGAAAACTGGGTGCTGTGTCCATGCCAGGCACTACACTGAGCATGACCAATACCAGCCAGCAAACAAATAGTAAACAATAACCGTATGGACACACATTATTGTACAAACTGGTAAGTGCTGTGAAGGAAAAGTAAAAAGCATGTTAAAAACCTGTAACCAGTATGTGGGTTAGAGGTGACAGAGAAAACTCTTGTAAGGCATGGAGGATCCAGAAACGTGCGGCCAACGCTCCAGGAGCAACAGGGAGGCTGGCGAGGAGGGCGCAGAGGTCTGCTGCGCTGGGCTGTCAGGGGTGATCGGTGATCGTACACGCTGGGGAGAACCAGGGAAGGGTTGCAAGCATTGAAAAAGATCTCTAGTGTCCTCTTTTGGTAGACCTTGGCAAATTGGTACAATGTATATGGACATGCAAAGGATCTAGGCCGGCCAAAAAAATTTTGAACAAGAAGTTGTACTACCTGATTTCAGAGCTTTGTACAGAGCTGTAGTATCGAAGACTGCATTTGGCGTTAGAATGGTCCGAGAGAACAAATAAGACATCATAGAAAGTCCAGAGACAGTGCTCACTTCAGCAGCATGTATACTAAAATTGGAATGATGCGGGGAAGAGAGGCATGGTCCCCGAACTGGAAGCCATGCAAATTCACGAAGTATTCCATATTTCCAAGAAACGTATACAGTTGCCCTGAAACTAACATAACACTATGTTAACATACTAGAATGAAAGTAAAGAGTCCAGAAATAGACCCACACATATACAGGTAATTGATTTTCAACAAAAGTGCCAAGTTAATTCAACAGAGAAAGTACAGCCAGTAATGGTGCTGGAAAAACACAAGTATCTGGGGGAAATGACCTTCAGCCCTTACCTCACATTATATACAAAAGTTTACTCAAAACCATAGATCCAAACATCAAAACTATAAAACTTCCAAGAGAAAATAGAAAATCTGGTTCCTTGGATTAAGCAACAATTTCTTGGAGCTTAAAAAGCATGGCTCAAAAATACTAATATACTGTAGTTCATCAAAATGAAAACTTTAAGACTCAGTAAAAGGAAAACGCAAACTCCAGACAAGGCTAAAACATCCACAATATATATCTAACAAAGGCTTTCCATCCAGAGTTTAGAAAGAACCCTTAAAACTCAATAAGGTAGGGGGGTGCCTGGGTGACTCAGTCATTGGGCCTCTGCCTTTGGCTCAGGTCATGATCCCAGGGTCCTGGGATCCAGCCCTGCATTGGGCTCCCTGCTCAGTGGGAAGCCTGCTTCTCCCTCTCCCACTCCCCCTGCTTGTATTCCCTCTCGCACTGTGTCTCTCTTTGTCAAATAAATAAACAAAATCTTAAAAAACAAAACACCTCAATAAGGTAGGACTAAAACTACAAAATAAAAAAGGCAGGACTGGGGCACCTGGGTGGCTCAGTGGGTTAAGCCTCTGCCTTTGGCTCAGGTCATGATACCGGGGTCCTGGGACCGAGCCCCATATCGGGCTATCTGCTCAGCAAGTAGCCTGCTTCTCCTCTCTTTCTGCCTGCCTCTCTACCTACTTGTGATCTCTCTCTGTAAAATAAATAAATAAAATCTTTTAAAAAAATTTTAAAAAAATAAAAGCCTCTGCCTTCGACTTAGGTCATGGTCTCAGGGTCCTGGAATCAAGCCCTGCATCGGACTCTTTGCTCAGCGGGGAATCTTCTTCCTCCTCTCTTTCTGCCTGCTACTCTGCCTACTTGTGATCTCTTTCTGTGTGTCAAATAAATAAAATCTTTAAGAAAAACAAAAGGCAGAACTAAAACTAAAAAATAGGCAGAAGGTTTGAACACTTTTTAAAAGATATTATTGGCCAGGGGCGGGGGGGCTGGCAACTGGGTGGTTCAGTCGGTTAAATGTCTTCCTTAGGCTCAGGTCTTGGTCTCAGGGTCCTGGGATTGAGTCCCACACAGGCTGCCGCTCCATGAGGAGTCTGCTCCCTTTCCCTTTGCCCCTACCCACCCCCCTGCCCCAGCTCATGCTCTCTGTCTCAAATAAATAAATCTTTAAAAAATTTATTTTTATTTTTTAAAAGATTTTCTCTCTTTAAGAAAGAGCACATGCACAGGCATGCCAGGTGAGGAGCAGAGGGGGAGGGAGAGACAAGCTGGCTCTGCGCTCAGCAGAGAGCCTGATGTGGGGTTTGATCCCAGGACCCCGAGATGGCCACCTGAGCCAAAACCAAGAGTCAGAAGCTTAACTGACTGAGCCACCCAGGCGCCCCTAAAGATTTTATTTTTTAAGTAATATCTACACCCAAAGTGGGGCTTGAATTCACAACCCTTCAATCAAGAGTCATTGCTCTACCGACTGAGCCAGCCAGGCGCCCCAAAAGATTTGAACAGACTCGTCACAAGAGGAGGTATTCTAATGGCCAAAAAAGCACATGGAAAAACGTTCGACATCTCTGGTCTTCAGGGAAAAATGCAAATGAAAACTATAATAAGATTCCACCACTCCCCCACCCACCAGAATGGCTAAATTCAAAAAAAGTCACGATACCAAGTGTTGGCAAAGATGTGGGGATGGAAAGTGCACAGCTATTTGAGAAAACAGTTTGGCAGTTTGGGGGCAGCAATTTCATTCACCCAAGAGAAGTGAAAGCATGCACACACGTGCACTTGAATACTCACAGCTGCTTTACTCATAAAAGCTCTAAACTAGGAGCAACCCAAATGCCACCATTGTGAACGGGTGAGCAAAATGTCGTGTGTTCATGCGATGGAACATTGCTCAGCAGCGAGGAGGAATGAATGGCTGATACCTACAGCTATACGGACGAGTCTTAGAAACATGTCCAATGAAGAAGCCAAGCACAAAAGAATACATAAATACCATTCTATTAATATGAAAATCTAGAAAGGCACAACTAACCTGCGGTGACAGTGGACGAGTGGTTGCCAGGAGCCAAGACTGGGGAGGTAGGAATTAACTGGGTGCAAGAAGACTGTTGGAAGATCATTCTCAAGAAGTCACGACTCCCTTACAGATATAAAAATGAGCACGAGTTAAAGATTTTATTTAACTCATGAATGAGGAAACAGTAAGGATTTGACAAGCAATCAAAGGAGATACTGAAAAACAGCAATGATAGAGCAGGAATATTGAAATGAATGTGCAAATGAAGGCAAAACTGGTTTCTTCCTCATGGGGAGAGGTCAGACATAATTTTCACTTCTATAGACAGGAATGATTTTACTTTGCTGTTCTTACCTACAACCTACAGAGCTGTAAAACAGCTCAAAGAATGAAAGACTGGAATCAGATTAATGCAGAAGGTTGTACGGTGTTTAGATCGTGCACTGTTTTCCACTAAGGATAACCAACAGCACCGGTGAGGAGGGAGTGAGAATGAGAGTGGATCCAGCAGAACCAGTCCGGAGGCTTCGACAGCGGTCCAGGTGAGGGGGGAAAAGGGCTTGGGGTACAGCTGTAGTGCCTGACTCAGAGACAGGCCCATCCAAACGAATGAACTTGAGCCTGACTTCGATCTGGTGGAAGGTGTGGAAATTTGATGAAAAGAAAATAGGTTGTGTGTGAAAAAGAAATCTTAAAAAACTAAAGAACCAGGTAGCCTCACCTTTCGTCTAGAAAGAGCCATATGGTGTAGAAGGTGCTCAAAGGCCAGTTTCTTTTGGCTAACGTTTGAGTGTTTACTGTGTACCAAGCATCTTACTAGGTTGAACCACATGAAATTGCCAATATTTGACCCCTTGGACCAAAAAAATGGCAACTTTATCCTAAAGAAAATCTTTAAACTAGATTATTTGCTGCTTACATCTGCGAGGTAGGTACTCCCCCACCCACACAAACACACACTTTTATAAGTGAGAAAAGCACCAAGAGGTCCAAGACCTTGCCCAATAATAACTTCTTAGTAAATGGTAGAGGCAGGATTCAAACCCCTGTGGCCAACGCCAGACCGGGGTTGTAAACTCCGGATGCACTATTGAAAACGCCGCAGAGTCCTGGGCTGTGCTGTTGCAGACAGAAGTGGTTTCACAGCACTGTGCCTGGTCCCCTGAGTTTTACTTTGGCTAAACCCAGATCCCAAGTTTTACCCCTATGGCGGGTTTCCTGGCCCTCCTCCTCCTCCCCAGCACCCCCAGGATCTGTTATCCCCGCCTTGAAACCAGGCAGCCTTTGTGGCCCCTTTGTGGCCATCTTCCTAGTGTCTTCTGACAGCTCCTCACTGACTTGTCCAAACCCCAACCCTCCAGTCCCACCCCCCCACCTTCTGTCACTGTGCTTACATTCCCTCATAGACCATAGACCATAGACCATGCCACAAGAATTGTCATTGCCTCTAGGAGTTCCTGATCTTTATCATGGGCTGAGCTTTTATTTCATGACCAGCGTACCCTACAGGTGAGGAAACACGCACGAATGTCTCGCTAGAGGGAGTGGTGATCCCATTGTTTTATCCGGGATTAAACTAGGTGACATCCAGTAGCATGGCACCATCTTCTGACCACAACCTCAGACGTGTCTAGCTGCTGGCTGTCCTTCTGGGACTTATCCTCACATCTGAGTCTCAAGTCTCTCTGGTTTTTGAAGCGCTCTGAGAACATCCTGAGGAAATGGGGCGCACGGCGGCAGGTGTTTCTCTGGGCGGCTCCTCCAGCAGAATTGCTGGGGGACTCTTGGGGGAAAGACTTCCCGGCCTTCCTCCCCGAGCAAACCGACCTCGAGGTGTAAATAAACACCTGCCCAAGAGCTCAGGGCGCCCGCGCGGGGCTTCGGCGCGTCCCCCCACCCCGGACCCAGGCGGTCCGAGTGTCCCTGTGCCGTCGGCGCGCCCGCGGGTGGGCGACCCGCAGGAGCCGCAGCGAGGGGCTGGAGCGAGCCGGCCGTCTGGCCCGCCGCGACGACCCCGGCCAGGAATTCGCCTGGGGCCAGGGCGGCGACAGCGGCGGGGACAGAGGGCAGGAGGCGGCCAGACCAAAGGGAGTCTCCCGCCCGGCCGAGACTGTCCGCGCGCGCCGAGGAGCCGCCCCTGTGGGAAGGGCCGAGGAGGTCCCCGGCGCTGACCCGAGAAAAGCGCGGCGCCCCCGCGCTCCCGCGATCCGCGCGCTCCCGCTCTACCAGCAGGAGGAGAGGCGGTGCGCGAAGGGACGCGCGGGAGACGCTCGCCAGGCGCGGAGAGGCGGCGCGGAGCAGCGCGGGGAAGGAGATGATGCCTGGGATGCCCGGCCGCGCGGGGCTCCTCCTCGGCGTGGTGCTGCTGGTGGCGCTGCTGGCCGCGAGCCGGACGCTCCCCCAGAGGAGGCCGCGGTCCCGGAGCCCCTCGAGCCTGGCGGAGGTGAGCGGCGGGACCCGGGCGCTAGCGGCGACCTCTCAGGGCGGGCGCGGGGCGGGGGCCAGGGGCGCGGGACCTGCGGGAGCCCCAGTCCCGGCCGGGCGGAGGGCCAGCGGGGGAGAGACTCCACTGCTGGGCTGAGCGTGGGACCCGGACCCCGTGGGACAGCCTGGTCTCTCCCGCCCGCGGCTGCGTCGCCCTGAGCGAACCTCTCCTGCAGCCCCCCATCCAGGGGAGCGCTCCGAGAGGAGCCGGAACGGTGGGAGGGGAACGCGGCGCCGAGTTACTGAGGTTCGACCGGCCAGTGCAGCCTCAAATCAGACCTGCAAAGGTTT